GAGTGAATCTTTAATTATGAAGTAAACAGATACATACTAAAATATGTATAATTTTTGTATTTTAATTTTATTTTAAATACTACATAAAAACTCTAACCATTATTTCTTCTTTTGTAATTTTATTAGACAATCCTCGAAATTTGAAAATTAAACAAAATGAAAATAAAATATAAATTATTGGAGAGCCTATAGCCAATATATAATTATGTAAAGTTATTTCTATTAAATCTTGTTCAAACTTAAAAATAAATTACTAAATTTATTTAATTTAAAATTCTTACAAATTCAATTCTGGAAGGTTTATATCCATTTAATGGATCATATGCAAATACAAAATTTATTCCATTAAAAATAACCGCGTGTCTAAACAATAACCAATAAAATCCATATAAACTACAAAAAATAAGCCAAAAATAAACACGATTATTGTGAAAAAGTTTTTTTGAAATATTTGGAAAAGCAATTTCTAAACAACGATTTATTCCCAAAATCTAAAAAAAAATAAAAATAAATTTGTTTATTTTTAATTTTAGTAAAGGGAAGAAAAGTTTAGTGGAGAGTCTAACAAAAAATACCACATAAAATACAATCATGATCAAAAAGTTTCCTAAAATTGAAAATTTAAAATAACCAAATCTGCAGAGCATTCAGGAGCCCAAAATACTGAAAAACAAAATTCTTTTAATTTTTTAAAGTAAATAAAATATTAAGTATTCATTAGAGCCCTGGAGGCCGTATTTATCGGTATTCTGTACTGTAACCGGTACGGCACAAAATTCAGAACTTTAGTGATTACTAGGGCGTGTCAAAACATGCAAATGCATATTTTGCATGCAAATGCAAATATGCATTTGCATTTTGCATATTTTTACCTAATTTTGTGAAACGCTTAAAAATGGTGTTTTTACATCGGTACGAACATTAGGGACCGAGTTCCTATAGCATATTTTTGCATATTTCGGTACTTTCGTGCATATTTGCATATCGATGCATATTTTGGGAAATTTTGCATATTTTTACCTAATTTTGTGCATATTTTGGCATTTTTTGAGAAATTTTAGTTTTCCGTGCATATTTTGACACGCCCTAGTGATTACTATTTCATTTCTGGTTTTACAATATTTAATTCAAAACCTACAAAAAATGTTACAACCAACAAAATAAGTTAAAAAAGGTGAAGAACAATAAACAACCCCATTTAAACTAAAAATTCCAGCTGCAAAAGTTGGCACCCAAAGTAGACAAATATCCATTATTGAAAGATAAATTAAAAGTATATAACAAGGATTTTTTGCTTTATTTTTCCAAAAAGAGTAAATACAAGGAAAATATAAAGGCTTAAAAATTAAATTTAAAAAATTTAAATAAATTTAAATAGTACATAATATATAAATCCAAGCAATATACAAATAATAGCAGTTATTGGATATCTTCTTTTTTCAATTGGAATATCATCAACATTAATTCCTGTACAGTTATAAATTTTATCAAAATTTTCACGATTCCATAAAATAAATTCCATTTTACTTCTAAACTTTTGTTTGTTTGAATTGTTAGCGATTAATTAACAAAGAAGATGATAATTAAATATAAGAAGGAAATTGGTGATTTGTTTAAAAGTTTAAATTTTTAAATTAAAACAATTAAATTCTAAAAGAAGACGAAATTATAATTTATATGAATAAGAACTTTTTTAGAATAAATATTTAAATTTAGGTGACAAAAGCATATTAAGACCCCCAAAGATTTCGATGCATGGCTTGCAGAGCTTTGACTACTTCACAAAAATGTGGAGGCCGAACTACCATTCAACAAATTCAAGATAGCCGCTCACTTTATTATCCTTGTGATCATTCTGAATAAAAATTTAACCCTTTATTGATGAAGGAAGTAGTTCTGCCCATTTTTAATATTTTGAAAAAGGAAAAAAGGAGGGGGGGGGGTATACGAAATTCAATTTTACCCAAAAAAATTTTGTTTTCGTTAATTAAATAATTTTAGATAAATTTCTTAATTAATTTTTTTAGCTTTTATTTGCTAAATTATAAAATATTTTTCTACTTTCTATATCTCGAAATGATTAATCTTTTTAGCTTTTACTTATGCATGTAATATTAAATAAAATTATTAAGTAAAAATTAAAATATTAATTGAAAAATAATAAAAAGTAATTTAAACAATTAAAAGAAATTTTTTCATTTAATACATGTTTATACTAATTTTTAAATGTTTTTATTTGTATTTTAATGTGATATTTTGAATAAAATTTTTTAAATATTAAGTATGTACTTTTAGAGGTGCTACAAAATATTAAAAGTAAACATGTTTTTTGTATCATGTTGACGTTATAAAATGTAAAATTCCTTCACACGCTATTCACATACATGTATAGTCGATTAATAATTTTGTAAAGAAAAAAGGAGGTGTACTTTTAATTAAAACAAAATTAAAATATTTAAAATTTGTTAAATTATTAAAAATTTAATTTAAATAATTATTTTTATTTAAAAAATAATTAAATAAAATTTTGGTGTTGAAATAAAGTTTTAAGGAAGTTTAATGCATTTAAGTAATTTTGATTAATTTATAAAAATATTTTTATAATTTTTGAAAATACATTTGTTTTTAATAAAGAAAAAGAATTTTAGTTTAATTTTTAAAGTCTTCAAATGTCGAACTTCAAAAGTCGGTAGCCGTTTATTAAATTATAAAATTACCCTCCCAACCAGACGTGGGCGAAACGTTTCGTTTCGTTTCGTTGTTTCGTATGTTTCGTATGATTTTTACTGTTTCGTCTCGTTTCGTTACGAAACACTTTTAAATTTGTTTCGTTTCGTTTCGTTACGAAACACCTGTGATTTTTCAACGAAACGAAACAATTTTTTAAGCCTAAACTAAGGCCAAAATCTATAAAATTTACCATCTTTTATTGAAAATTTAAAAAATTTTCGCCTGCGGCGCTGAAAAAAAAAGAATTTCGGCTTCTTGGCTTTCCCAAATTGTCAAAATTTTCGCCTGCGGCGCTGAAAAAGGAAGATAGCAATTACTTATATACTACAAATCCGTTTATACTCCACTCCCTAATCCACATATACATATTACTTAATCGACGACAAATTCTATTACCGGACTCGCATCATAATTTAAAAATTGCGGATTGCGAGTTGCGGAAATACTGGAACCGGAACTTCCGGCGAAGCACTAGCTTATATCGCCTTCCTCTCGAAATGGAGATATGGAGACAATTTGGGTAGGCAATGGAGCAAGATGGTGAATTTTTTGGCCTACGGCCTTTCAAAATTTTAAAATTTTTCGTCTGCGGCGCTTAAAATAAAATTTTACTTGAAAAATATTCAATTTTATTTAAAAAAAAGCGTCGCCAAAAATTTGGCTTCGAAAATGATTGACCCCCCCCCCTTCCCCGAAAATTTTCCTTGCTACGGGCCTGGCTTATGGGACACAATTGTTGTAAATAAACCAATAACTAAATCATTTATAAGTCATAGTCGACTAATAACGTATTTGAGGTCGAATAATTTCGAAATAAATGCAGTTTTGAAAATTTTTTGAATATTAAAATGTTTCGTTTTGTTTCGTTTCGTTTCGTAAGATTTTGGTTGTTTCGTTTCGTTTCGTTAACGAAACGATTTTTAAAAAATTTTGTTTCGTTTCGTTTCGTCAGAAAAAAATTTTGAGTTTCGCCCAGGTCTGCTCCCAACATTAAATATTTAAAATATTCCCTCAAAAAATATTCTCAGAAATAAAAAAATAATTCTTTTAATAAATCTATTAAAAACTCGTATTTCCCTCCCATTTTTAAATATATAAAATAGAATATTTATTTAAATAAATATTTTATTTTAAATTATTTTTAGAATTTTATTTTTAGATTTTTTAAACATAATTAATTAAATTCTTCGATGACAGAGATGGACTCTTCACTTAAAGAATTTGAATTAATTGTAAATTAATTAATAAATTTATTTTTAAAATAAATAATTTCCAGGAAAGCAACAATGCTGCAAACATTGAAGATAATTTAGATAATTTAGATCTTCAAATTGAGTTTAATGAATTGAAAAATAAATATATTTTGCTTGAAGAGAAACACAAGAATTTTGAAGAAAAAATAAATATTGTAGGTTTTTTAAATGGCCAAAACAATCTAAAAATTCTAATTTTACTTGTTTATTAATTTTAAGGCGTTAGAATAATGAAAGCTGGTCGTTTTTACAGCCTATAGGGGGTCGAAAATATTTTTTAAGGACAATTACCCCGGTTTTCAGTTGATTTTCGGGTCTTCATATGTCGATGATAGAACGATAGAACTTCGTTTTCACTAGATATCTATCGGAATTTTTGTGGATTTTTGATAAAAAAATAAAAATTTTATGAGGGTGCGCTTATGCTAACGTTATTACAAACTTTTTTAACTTTTTAATAATAAATTCGTCCAATCTTTTGCATATTACATACCAAAATAATATATTTAATAACATATCCAAAAATTAGACCAATTTATAAACAAAACTCCCCGAGATATGACCTAAAATATTGGTGAGAAAATAATATATGTCCGCCGAAACTGGTCAGGGATAACTCAAATATACTTTAATTTTTTTGATTTTTTAATAAAAATGATAACCCTTTATAAACGTTCTCAAATGCCTAAAGAATTGGGAGCAAAATGAAAATATAACGGGGCGTAATTTTTAATTTTTTTAGAAGATTACTACATTGGAGGAAAAGTTTGGTGAATTAACAGAAAAATTGGAAAAAGTAAATAAAGTGGTCAGTTTTTAATTAAAGAGAGAGAAGCTAATTTAATTATATTTTTCTTTTAGTGTTTTGTTAATTTAAAAAATAAATGGAAACAAATAGAATTTAAATTTTCTCATTTTTGTTGTGAAAATAAATGTATAAATACAGACAAACCTATAGGTGTTTGTATTAATGGAAATGGATTTGTTAATTTAATTAATTGGGAAAAGATTAAATATATGAAAGGGGATAAAGGTTATCTAGAAAATAAAAATAAAATTATTATTTTCTTTGTTTAGTTAACAAACCAGGACTTGTTTATACCGAAAATTCATTTAAAATTCCAAAAGAATATTGTGTCAATTATTCTCTATTTTATTTTGAAATTAAATGTAAAATTGAGGGAGAAGACAATTTGATGCATATTGGGATTTTAAATTGTGAAAATGGTTGTGTTAGATATTTTGCCGAGGAGCCTAAAATATTAAATGATTTAAATGAAAAATTTAAACTTTCAACATTTTCTTGGAATGATGGGGATATTTTTGGTATTGGAGTAGTATATCCACCAACTAATAAAATTAATGAATTACCTTTTGTTTTCTTTACTCAAAATGGAAAACAAATTGGTTTGAAATTTGGATAATTGTGTAGTTTATACAACAGGAGTTTCAAAGGATATAAACACACCATAATAATCACAACTGTTTTTGGTACCATTAGAAGGACAAATTCGAAGGTTTCTACACAAAGTACCCACATTATTATCTCTGTATCCCATTTCTGTTATTTTATTATAAGCTTTCCAGCAGTCGGTATGGATTTTTGTCCCTATAAAAAATATTCTTTTTAAAATAACCAAATTTTTTTATCATGAACAAGATCTCTAATAATTGGTAAAAGGTCCTTCTAATTGTACCAAAAACAGTTGTGATTATTATGGTGTGTTTATGTCATTCTAAACCTAAGATGCATAAACTACACAAGTACCGAAATTTGTTAATTAAAAATATTTTTTTATTTTTTAAAGGCAAATCTGTTTTGTTGAAGAATAATTATGATGATTTAATTCCTTATGTTCTTCTGAAAAATTGTTCTGTACAAGCTAACTTTGGAGATAATTTGGAAACTAAACCTTTTTGTTATGAAATTTCAAAGAATTTTGTGTTTAAGGAATTTTATTGAGATTAAATGGCTAGTAATTTTAAATTTGTTGGAAAGAAGAAATTTTTGTTGAATAAACATTACTCGATATTTGTTTTTTTCGATTAATTCATAAAAATGATGCTGGCTTTCTAAATAATTTCATTTAATTTTTTTGAATAAGAATAACTTTTTTTCCCGTAGTAATTTTTGGGTAATAGTCGAATGATACCAAGATAAATTTGTTGATTTTTAACCAAATTAAAATACTAAATCCTCGTTGGAAAAGCTTTTGATAACTTTGCTAATTTAAATCAGATTACGTTGAGTTTGGTTTCAAATATTTTTATACAAAATGTTTTTACTATTTGTATTTTTACATGTCTGTTAATTTACCATTGAATAGATATAGGTTCGGCATTTTCACAACCATGAACCAGTCCATCAGAATCAACATTCCTAAAAAAAGTATTATTCTTAACACTCGTTTATCTCTAGCTTCGGGAGGGACAATTAATTGGCTATCTGTCTGAAATTTTTAATTTAATGACGTATTTATTTTTAATTTTATATTTATTTATTATAAAAAGCAACACACAAGAATTTTTTTCGAATTTTTAATTGTCACACACACATTTATTTATTTATTATAATTCTCAAATTCCCTAAAGTCAACCAATTTCTATTTTCATCATTTAATATTTTATTTTGATTTTATCTCTTGTCAAAAATCATACTTTATTTCAAAGGCATAAAAAATTTAAAAATAAAAATAAATTGCGCATTTAAAATTTTATATTTAGTCAGGGAAATGATGAAAAGATGAAGACAATAAAAGTTTTAGTAAAAAATTTTTTACATTTTTTCAAGATTTTTTATGAAAATGATCCTAATTTTTGCGTTATAAAAAAGGCCGGCTGGAACACGTTGATATATGAGATACATACAAGAGATCCTGTCGGTATAAAAATAAATTCCCTTCGAGAATCGGGATTTCTGATAATTATGTGAACATCCTTACTTTATTTATATCATTTTCCACAGTATTCTTCTTTTCCTTACCCATTTTTCCTTACTTTTTTTTCATGTTTTCTCTTTCAAATAATCTACTAATCCCCCCAATACATATCATCTACCCAAAAAGAATTATTTAGTCATTTTGGCCTTTTCTTTTAATTTTTTAAAATTACATAAAGTCTCCCGCAGTGAATTTGTCGGCAATTTTGATGTAAAAAATAAATAAATATATTTTTGGTTGTTTTACAAGAATTGAGTAAATGAAGTGGCTTATTTTAATTTTATTTTAGAAATATTTAAAGAGATTTATTATTTTTTAAAAAGTTTATTTATCTAGTATTTAATTTGGTATTTTTGTATGTATGTAGTTAAATAGTCGAATTTGTATTTTTCTCGATTACCTAAACATGATTACATACACGGGGTAGATACGACAGAAAATAAATTCCCGGTTTAGACCATGCTAGACTCCTTGTTACCTATTATTTGAAAAAGCCAATCACGCTCATTCATTCGATACCAAAATTGTTTTTCCGATTTATATCCCCAGTTTATGACGATAAAAAATCAGAAAAATCCAAAACTTAACCTTAAAAACTAAGAGCATTTTCTAGAAATAAATTCTTCAATTTGATTTAAAAAATTTAATTTAGGGGCTTCGAATATTTAATTAAATTAATTAATTTTGTCAAACACTTCATTTTCCTTTAGCGGCCTTTTTTTCTTCTCCCGTTCATTTAAACTGTCATCCATTTTCTTTCCTCTCAGTTTGAAATCCTTTCCCCTATGGAATCATTCTCGCCCCTATAAAGAAGCGCCAAAAAGAATTATGTAATTGGCCCCAAAAATTGAATAAAAATAAAAAATAATTTTTTGTTTTTAGCTTTTTAGCTTCTTTTTTCCTCTTCATTTTCTTTTTTTCTGTCCTTTTTTGGTTTGTTTTCTTTTTTATAGGCCGCGCACATTTGCATATAATAAATTCGTTAAAATAAAGAGCATATTAATGTTTTGAATAAAATAAAGATTTTTATCTTTATTTAAAAAAGGAAGATTTCAAAAATTATTTCAAAAAATTTTTTTATTTTAAGTATACTAACAGATAGTTTGTTTATTATTTAAATAAATATGTATTTAAAAAATATAAAAACATTTTTTCAAAACCAAGTTAAACAAATATTTTATGAATATCGTTGTTTTATAAATAAATATTTGGTTTTTAATTAATTAATTTGTTTTCTTTTATTAAGTATTTATTGTGTTCTTGTTTTTATTTTTGTGTAGAGATTTAAATAAATTAAATTAAAAATTATTTATTTATTTTTATTCCTTATTATTTTTATAACTAAAAATTCTAATTACTAATTGACTTCTTTAATATTATCAAATTACTAGTTTTGTTTTAAATATTTTTGGAAAAGAAAAATAAATAAATAGTAGCATTTTTAATTGCGCAATATTTAAATATGTTTGGTTGTGTGAATGAATGAATGGTCCTTTTCTTGCTTTTCTTTTTCTTCCAGACAATTAAAAAAATAAAATAATTTTAATTAATTTATTTTAAATATATAATTTTTTAAAATTTATTTTTCCCTTTATTTAAATTTCAATAAATATTTTTATTGTTTTTAAGTGCTAAATAATTTTATGGGAGAGTTATTTTCTTGAAAAAAAGTTTTGTAAAAAATTTTAAATTGGCCCAGCTGTGTTTTGAAGAATGAAAATATATTTGAGTATTTTTAAATGATTCTTTTATTTAATGGAATGTTTTTAATGGAAAATAAAAATAACTAAAAACTCTTGACATCCACAAGAAGAAGGGGGTTTTCAAGTGAAGGAGATATCTTCATTTACTCCATTATTGAAGATATATGTATTGGAGAACATAACTAAATGTTATTTAATTTAAAAAATTATTTCATTTATGGGTGATCAGTCTCGACATTCGTGAAAAAAAAGAAAAAAAATATTTTTAAAAATCTGTAAAAAAAATTTTCAACAAAAATTTCTCAAACAAACAAACATATATATTTCTCCTTAAATTTGTCTAATTTAAAATAAAAAATATATTTTAATGGCTATTTTTAATTTTATTTAAACCAAATTTTTCAAAAATAAAAAAAATTTTTTCAACAATTTATTAATAAGATTAACCAAAATAAAGGATTTATGGAAAAGATTAATCGTCGGTAAGAGAAAAAATCCTTCTAAAAATTGGAAAAACATTCTCTCTTCGAGAAATATATATTTTTTACAAACCCCCTACAACAACCTTTTTTTATTTTTTTCTTGGCCATGAGCGCGAGAATTGGGAAATGTTGGAGGAAAGGGAAGAGGAAAAGGAGAAGGGAAGGAAAATTGCGCAACTGATGGCCGGCCGTAGATGGTCATTCCCCTCAATTTAAAGAGGAAGGGGAAGGAGGAAATGGGGGAAGAGGAAAAACAAAAAAAGACACCTGCCCTCTTCTCTCCTATTTTTCAGCTTTTCATCCATCTGCCTTTTCCTACAGTTTTTTCTGACCCATTTATTCGCGCCTGGATTTTTTAAAATTAAATGATAAAATAAATTTAGGTAAATATTTAATATTAAAATACTAAAAGTTGCACAATCATTTTCTTCAGTTTATGTAAAATAAAAAATAAAAAGGAACTTCTTGGATACCTCGAAAAGTTGTTTTTACATAATTTCTTTGCCAAACACTTTATTTTGTGATAAACTATTGTTTAAAAAATTATCTAAAAATAATTCTTATTATCAAAAAACACCAGAAAATAATCACAAAACAAAAATTATATATTTTTGCGAATATTTCCCCTTTCATTTATTCTGTAAAAACGTCTTTACAACAACCATATACTTTACACAATTTAAGAGGTTCTGTTGGCTCATTGGCCTCTTATAGTTTCCCCCCCCCCTCTCCTTTCCCCCTTCATTTTTTCTTCTCCATCTTCTCACTTACAAATCCCTCCTTCACCTGCCACAACAACAAATGTTTGGCTCTCGACCTAATTTTTTTATTGTTAAAAAATGAAAAATTTGTTTTTATGGAATTTTGAAGGAATTTTTAACTAAATAATTTTAATTGGATGGAATTTATATTTAAAAATAATTTTCTATCTGCAATTTTGAATGATTAGGATATACTTTAATTTTTTCTAAATTTAATTTTAAAAAGAGTTATTTAAAAGTTTTTAAATAAAATAGAAAATGATTATAAATATTAGGTGGGTGGTTGGATATATAGGTAGATATAATATGATTTTTTTAATTATTAAATAAATTTTTAATATTTCCATCTATTATTATTTTTAAGAATTTTCAAAAAATATTTTATTTTAAAAAGACTTTAACTAGCTAGTATTTTTTTAATTTTTATTTGTGTTCAAAAATAACTCTTTTTAAATATCTGTAATTAATTTTACAGATATTTTTGTAAAATTAATTACTTTTAAATAAAAAGTAGTTTAGCACTTTTTTTAGAACTTTGCATATTTTATGAATACTTTTAATAAAATAATTGCTCAATTAAATTTAAAAATAAATATATAATAAGTAAAAACGGAAGAGTGATAATTTTAAAAAATAGGTAAATGTTCAAAAATTCTTTTTTTTTAATAATTAGCATTGTAGTGACGAAAATATAAAGTAATGATTTAAATAATTTAAAGTTTTGATTTTATTTTCACAATTGCACATCTCATGGATTTTCACAATCATCATCTCATGGAAAAAAATTATTATTTAAAAGCCCTTGTCAAATAAATTTTAAAAATTTTAAAGTATATAAATATTAGCTAACTATTTTTTAAAATAATTTTATATGTAATATTTACCAATTGAAATTTTTAGTAAAAGAAAAAATGAGGAACAGAAGTGTAGAATGAGAGTTTTTACAGTATTTGTTGTGCCTCCTCTCTCGCTCCTTCACAGACCACGCCCATCTTCTTCAACAATCACCATCTCATGGAAAAAGCAAACATTTTCAACATTTCAAATTCAACCGGTCACAAAGGTCAGAAAATTATTTAATAAAAAATTTTTTGTTTTATTTTTTAAATAAAATATCAAAATAAGTATATCCCTAATTTAATTTGCTACTTTTTTTTTATATCTTTTCTACTCTAAATTTAAAATAGTAGTTAAAATTTATTAATGTAAAAAGTTAGGATAATATGTAGATATTTGTGTTTACCTTCTCCAAACTTTGTTTGAATATATCTAGTCTAGTTTAACATAACTGCCAACATATATTCTCAATTATTCCCTATAACTGACAATTATTTTTATTTATTCCTCGAGCTTCGAAAAATACTACAAAGCTTCCACTAGAACCCCCTTCCACAGGTATATCAGTTAAAACAACAGTGGCTTTAAAAGAAGTGAAATTTAACATATCTTTTACAGATTACAATAGATAACAATGAATTATCATTTTAATAATTCTCCCCTACCATCACCGTCAACATCAACCTCCTCATCACAAATAATTAATTCAAATAATATTTTAAAATCTTTTAAACAAAATAATTATTTAATTAATTATTTATCTCAACAAGCATTATCCCCTCAAACAATTATTTATCAGCAACAAAATAATCAACAATTAATTTTGTTATTGTTACTTCAACAACAAAAATTAATTAAAGAACAAGGTTAGAATTTGTGTAGGGGGAGGTGGGAGGGGGGCTGATTGAGAGAACCGATCAAATTTTGTCGATAAAAACTCAAAAAACCTGAACGATTAGCCTAAATGGAATAAATAAATATTTTTAAATAATTGTAAAGTATGTAAGCATAAGCAACACCCAGTAGAACCTAAATTTAAAAAACTTAAATTAAATAGTATCTAAGTAATATCGGAGATATTTAATAGCGAGGAATGAATTTATTTAATTTACAAATATTTAAATATTTATTATTTCTGCCTCTCTCCTTCATAAACAAAATATTTTTTATTAAAAAAATAATAATTTGAATATTTTTAAAATTATTTTTTATAAGTTCAAAAAGAAAAGAAACTTAAAATAAAATAATAAGGATGTAAAAGTTTATAGGAATACTTTAGCACGCAAATATTTAAAAGAAAATAAAAAAAAATTTTAGAAAATTAAAATATGTAATTTAAAAATATTTTAGTAAATGGACAATTAGCACAACAACAAAAAATGTTAATTTTAAATAATAATTGGCCTCGATTAACTTTTCCATCTACTCAAGGGTCTGGAATTTTTTTAAATAAATATTAGTAAATTACAGTTTAAAAAAATATTTTTAATTTCCAAAATTTTTTTAAATATTTTAAAATATTTAGAATATCAACACCTCCTTGTAGTACCAGCAACAATTTTTTCCTTTCCCCAATAAAAACAAACAATATTCCTTTAACAACAAAGTTTTCCCCCTCTCCAACAATACAACAACAAACATACTCTCCTCCCCAACTTGAAAAGAAACGAAATAAAGTTTTAGTAAAACAAAATATTAAAAGAGAATTTACAATTGATGGACTTCTTTTAAAAGAAGTTGAAAATAAAAAAATAAAAAAAGAAGGAAATGTTGGGGTTGTTGATTATTTTATGGAAGAAGGGCAACTTAGTCTGACAGATGGACGTAGAAATGTTGGAATTAAAGGAGGAGAAGGAAGAAAGAGGAAAGGAAGTAGTAATGAGGATTTTGAGGTAAATTAACCCACCCTTCCCTTCTCCCCTCTACGAGAAGAGGAAGGAGGGGCTAAAAAGTTGGGTAAACTAAAAATTAGGGGAGGAAAGGTGAGGAAAGAAAACTTACTAAATTCAGGAATATATTTTATTGTTTTCTCTGTTTTTTATGAACATCACCATAATCTAACTTTTATATTTTAAATTAATTTAAAAAAACAATTTATTTATTTAAAGTATTCTCCACCATTGCCAAAATCTTCTCCTATTCTTTTACAACAACAGAAACTCCCCCCATCAAAACATGTTTGCACAGAATGCGGTAAAAGTTATGCTACAAGTTCAAATCTTTCTCGACATAAACAAACACACAGACCTATTGATAGTCCACACGCTAGAAGGGTATTTAAATAAATAAAAATAATATTTTAAGGAAATAATTTAAAGCTGGGGATATCTGGAAATGTAAAAAACAATTTGGAATTGGAAATTAAAAATAGAAAAAGTTAAAGAAAATTTGTAATAAAGGGTTGAAATAATTAAGGGTTTGGGGATAAATGAGGGATTTAACTATTTATAAGGAAATAAATGAAAAATTTCAACGCCAAATTGAAATATTTTTGAAGCTGGAATTCTGAAATTCTTTTAGAAATTTTTCCGAAATTAACGCGAGGAGATCAGAATTCAGACTCCATTTAGTTATTGGGAAGGAAATAAATAAAATAGAGAATCTATTCGAAAAAATTAATTTCCCTAATTATATTTAAGTGCCCTTATTGTGAAAAACCTTATGTTTCAATGCCAGCATTTGCAATGCATATATTAACACACAAAGCTAAACATAAATGTCCAATTTGCGGAAAACTTTTTTCTCGTCCATGGCTACTTAAAGGACATTTACGTAGTCATACTGGACAGGTTTTTAGATTTATAAGATAAATTTTATATTTTTTAAAAGAAACCCTTTGGTTGTGGAAATTGTGGGAAAGCATTTTCTGACAGATCTAACCTTCGAGCACATTTAAATACACATAATGGTAATTAAATTTGGAAATTTTTAAATAAAATATTTTTCCAATAAAAAAAGCTGAAAAACGTTGGAGTTGTGCTCATTGTGGGCGTGGATTTGTATTAAAAAGTTATTTAAATAAACATCTCGAACAACAACATGGAGATTCTAATTTAGTTAATAATGAAGAAGAAGAGAAGTAAAGTGGAAATAATTAGTAAATATTTCTTTTAAATTAACAATAATCTACAATAACAACACCAAGTATAGAACAATTTCCTTCTTTTTAGGAAAAATGAATTAAAATATGAATGAGTATTCTTTTATTTTACCTGTTTTAAAAAAAATTCACAAATAATTCTAAAAAGGGGGGATATTAATCAAAAAAAATTCAAAAGAATTAATGCTTGTTGTAAGGAGAAAATTTTTTCTTTCATTTGACGTTCAATCTACAAAAGCTTTAGAAATTTTAACCTCAAACTTGTAATCGTATTTAATTTTTCTAATAAATATAAAAAATATTTTAAAAGCCACATGTTTATTCCTTCTCACCCGATTTAATGTTAAAATTAGTGATGCTCGAGATTTCAATTTCGGTTTTTTAGTCTCGTAAAAAGAGAAAAATTTATTCTCCTAATGAGGGAAATTTTTGGGGTTCTCGAGTCTCGATAAATTTTCATTTTCGAGCATCGCTAGTTAAAATTCTGTCCCTATAACTATTAATATAAAAAAGAAAAACATCCCCCCAATATACCTTCCACAATTTATGTATTTTAAAAAATATTTTGTAAATTTCCTTACTCTTGTCAATTAAAAAATAATAATAAAATTAAAATAATTTTATTCAACAAAAATAAATATAATTAATTTTGTTTTTTTAAATTGTGAAATTTAGAAAAAATATTTGGATATGTTTTTAATTAATTATCTTTGTATTTATATTTGGTTAACACATTTGGTATTTTTAAAAATAAATGCACAAAAAGGCAAAATAAAATAATTATTGAAGAGCACTTTTTAATTAAATTAAAAAATCTCTAATTTTGTCTTTGTAATGAAGAAAAGTAATGATTAGGGGGTTTCCAAAAATATGTAAATGTCTTTAATTGAAAGTACAAAAATGTTTCTTTAAGTGGTACGAGCTCTTTAGGTTCGCTAAAATTCTCGGAAATTTCAGCTTAAAAAGGAAAAGTAATTTTAAACTTTTAAATAAACTCAAAATTTAATTAAAAAGATAAAATTAGAGATTTTAAATTACCATTAAATTTTTTAAAAAATTCAGAAAAATATAAATAAATTATTTAATGGTTAATTAATTAATAAAAATTGTGAAATAATTTATATAAAAATGTTTTATTATATATAACATATTATGCTTAACTTATGCAAAATAATAATTAAAAGATTAGAATTTTTAGTATTTAATCTGGTTAGGAAGGGAGAGACATTACAACTAAAAATTAATTTTTAGCTTTAACTTTCCTTAAAAACTCGAAATTTTAGAATTTATTTAAAAAACACAAAAATCTAAAGTCAAAAATCTGAATTTTCTATAGGAGGTAAATAACTGAATAGATAATAACTGTACAGAATTTTTTTTAATTTTTATGTAATTATTAAACTGTGTTCCTAATTTACATTTCAGAGGCATTTTTTTAAAAATTCTAATCTTTTAAAAATTAATAGAATATCACAGAAATCGACCAAAATATTGTGGTGATTTTTTGTTTAGTGGTAAGAGAGTGGTGATAAAATAAAAGAAAATTAAAAATAAATTAATTACTGGTTAGAAAAATGGTAGTGAAGAAATATGTATTTGAAAAGATGAGAAGGATGGATTTGATAAAATATTTTTATTTAAAAATGATTCTCTCCATCATATCTTTTCTTAATTTGTGTGGTTATACAAATAAAGTTAGAGACCTCTATTTTATTCTGGTTTTTCTAAAGAAATTCTGATTTAAATTTAAATGTTTAGTTTATTTGAATTTATTTGTTTTTTTTAAATAATTCTGGTTCTATTTTTAAAAACAAAACACAATTTTTATTTTTTTGTAGAAAATAAGAGGCCCTTCGTTAAAAAATAGAGGTCATACAAATTTAATAAATAAAAGAAATGATTAGAATAAATTATTTGACATAAGAGAGTCAAATAAATAATATCAGAATTTTCATTAAAAAACTTTATTATTCACTCAAAATAGGGGTCATTTAAAAAACATCCAAAGTCACTCTCCTAATTAAAAATTTTATTCTCAAAAAAATCTAAACTTCCGTAGCTGTTCCATTTCCAATTTGATAAGGATTTTGAATATTTATATCATTTATATATCCATTATTATTACCTCCATTTTGTTGTTGTTGAAGTGTTAAAAGAGAAAGTAAGGGAGGGGCAGCAGCAAAAATACCCCCTCCTCCTCCCCCTCCCCCACCTCTTCCTCCCCCTCCACCACAATTAGCTGTTGAAGAATGTAGAAAATGTCCATTAAATAAAGGAGTAGAGCCATTTGTTGTTACTATTGTTGAAGTTAAACAATTATTTCGAAGCCATAATTCTTGTGGATGTGAAGGGGGAGGAGGGAAACCGCCAAATTGGGCAGCGACTTCTGGTGAGTAGAGATGGGTAAGTGGAAGAGACTAAAAAATAAAATTCTGATTTTAATTAATATGTATTTTTTGTATTAATTCTGGTTTAGATTACTAATAATTTAACGAAAACTCTTAAAATATTAAAATTAAAGCACATTTTATTAAAATACCGTATTTGCTCTATTAATCCCCCAGTCTTTATTAATCCCCCAGGCTCTATTAATCCCCCACCCGGGGATGGGTTGAAACAATAATCCCCCTGGGGGATTAATAGAGCAAATACGGTACATAACGTATTTCCGTACTATAACCCCTCTCTGAATTAGAGCCCCTCCTTAATAAAGCCCTTTTGGAGGACAGTTGAAAATTAGAGCCCCATGGAGCTCTAATACAGTAAATACATTATATATTAAAACTCACAGGAGTAACAAATTGAGGAGGTGTCAATAAAATTCCCCCTCCTCCATTAGTTGTTTGTTCATTGATTGCTAAAAAATAAATTTACATTAATTTATTAATTAATTAATTTACCTCCAACATTAGTCGCTGCAGCAAATGCTGCCAAAAAAGGATTTGTAGCTGGCAATGAAAAAAGAGGGGAAGTTCCATTTGTAGGTAGAGGAATTAAAGGGGAATGAGGAGTTGGTAGTAAACTTGGGGCTGCTGATGGAGGTATTAATGGAGGTGATTGTTGTAAAATATTTAAGTGAAGACTCATATCGTCAGCACAACATTGGAAAACTTCGATATAACTGAAAAATATTATTTAATTATTTTGTGTTTTAAATTAATTCTGATTTAAATTATAAGCAAAATTAAGGTTGCCAGTCCTTTAATCAAACCGAAACCTCAAAGCATTTACGAATAATTTAGCAACTCCCAAAACTCTAATCAAAACACAATAATTACCGTTTCTTCTTCCCAAGCTCCATATATTTATTATGACATTCTTGTGAGGCATTGGAAGCAGCTTGTTCTGATTCCTGTAGTTTTTTAAAAAAATTTAGCCAAAAATAAATTTAAAAAAATTTTTATTTAATATTTAAACTCCAAAATCATTAGATAAATTAATTTAAAAAATATTTTTATGTTTTACCATTTGAATAAAAGCTTCACCACTTGGATGACCAATAGAAGTATAAATCTGAGTGTTTTATGATAAAAAATAATTTTAAATGCAATAACCAACCATATGTACTCCTTGAAAAAGTACATGCCTTGCATGGGGTCCCAAAAATTCAACAACTTGTTGCACTTGTGCTTCGTATGGAAGGCCTCTTAGTCTGAGGCAATCACGCCGACGACCATTTTTGAAGGGAGGAGGTGTTGGTTTGCCAAAAGGTATAAAGGTTGCTACTGATGTGTTTATTGGTGGGGCAAAAATTGGGGGAAGTGTCTAAAATATTTTTAATTATTTATGAAAGAAAAGAATTTTTATCATCTCTCAGGAAAAAGGGAATGTAACGGAAAGTTGTGTTAACCTAATAAATAATTCTTAGTAATTCTGTAATTTTAATATTTTATAAAATCCGACTCCATAGGTTACTACCATCTGAAATTATATATTTAATTAAATATTTATTTTTAAATCCAAAACACAAACATTAATTATTCCATTGGAAGCACTACTAGTTGTTGAAGTTATTATTGTTTGTGTTTTTTGATTATTAACCAAATTATTATTTGTTAAAATTCCCCCTCCTCCTAAATTTTTTTCTTGAGCATTAATAATTTGTTGTTTAGAATTAAAAAGTTGCTGAACTTCTGCTTGTGTTGTTCTAAACAATTCTATATATCTAGTCCCCATTCTTTGCCGATGTTTTAATAAAGCTCTACGTCCACTTTGTTCATCACAAAAAAGAACAAAAGCATCACCAGATGGCCGTCCATCGGGTCGCTGGACAAAAAGAACACCTTCTTGGAGAATTCCACTGGGAAGGCCATCAGTTGAGAAAAAGTCACGCTGAAAATGGGGAAAATTTTATTAAATTTAGGGAGGGGGGGGGGGGAATAAAATAAAAATTATAAATGTTAAGAAGTGTATATTAAAGTCCCAAAATTCATAAAAAGACCCGAAAAGCTCTCAAAGGCCCGAAATTAAAGGGAGAGAGTAGTTGCCAATAAATAAATATTTTTAGTTAAATTTATTCGAATTAAATTTTAATTTTTTCAGCCCACAAAAGCAAAAAAAAATAATTTTAAAAAATTCTAAACAATTTGTTGCTCCGTGGCAGAAAATGGAAGGCCTCTCATACGAACAATCATTGCTTGATGAAAATTTTGTTGAGATTGTTGGTCAGCAAGTTGAGCAAAATTTAGTGCGCAATGATCTATTCCTATAAAAAGAAAAGAAAAAAGGTGAAATAAAATAAAGAAACCAGAAAAATAAAATATAATTCTGATTTAAATTTTTGTATTTTTAATTTTGTGTTTACACATAAATTCTGAATTAAACTATTATTTATCAGAATTTTACATCAGAATGTAAAATTCTGATTTTAATTAATTATGCCATAAATATAATTTATAAAATTCTGATTTTAATTATAGTAAAACCCCCCAATAAGCAAAGGCCAGAAAAAGTAAAAGTAAAAGCAAAATAAAATACATAAGAGAATATATAAAATAAAATTTAAAAAATCCGGAAGCATGGTTATTACTGTTGCTGTTTAATGCCTTATTTTATCAACCCTCCCCCTCTCCTCTATCCTCTCTTTCCTTTTTATTTTAAATTTTTCTCCCTTGTATGTTGCCACACCTTAATAAGCGCAGGGATGTCTCTCCCCCTTACCCCCCCCCCTCAAAAAATTTTATAGCTAATATAAAATGTTGCTTGAATGAAGTGAGAGAATAAAAAGGGTTATTAGAGTTTTGGAATTGAAAATTATTTTTAGAAATTTTAGAGATTTAAAACAAAAATGGGAACTTTTTATCCCTAAAATTATTAGATTTTTGTTTTTATGGAAAGGAAAAAAATGAAGGAGGATTAGGAAGGAAAATGAATTGAATATGTCTACCTAGCTTTCGTTTGAGAAAAAAATATTTTTTAAATAAAATTTGTATAAATGATGTAATAATATTTTTAAAAAAATAAAAATCAAATAATAATTTAATATTATTATTTGATATTAAAAGACACCCCTTCGACACCCCTTCGTGCTAATTAATTATAAAAATTATTTTTCCCTCTTAATTGTCTTTCTACTCGATCTTTAGATTTTATAAACTCGAAAACTGAATCAAAAAAATTTGAGATCAAAATGCTTTTATGTTTTTCGAAAAATCTGATAGCATATTAAAATATTTATTTATTTTCACCAGAAACGTAAAATTTACAGGAAACCTCCCAACATCCTTTCGTTTAAATCGCGGTCATCCTATTTAATATAATTTTAAAGAGAAAAGATGATTTATATACATATAAATATTTAAATTTAAAAAAAGTATTTTTAGCAATAATTATTTAAATTTTCCAATTAACATTAAAAAAATTAAATATTAATTTAATAAATAGACATAGCTGTTAAAAAATAAAAAAATAAAATTATTAGAAGGGAAAAGCGAATATATGAATGAACAACAAAATCGATCTATAACTGACTATAAACCCAATTTTTTAATAAAATAAATTCTCTAATAAAATTCAAAAAAATTCATGCTTTAAAACTTTCGTCTTATAAAGAGAGACAAACAAAAATAGTAATAATGCAACAAAAAATTATAGAGGAATTGTTAAAAATATTTTTTTTTATTTTTTAATTTAGGAAGTAAATTTTAAAGAAAAAAAGTTTAATTGTTAAGGTAGGGGAGGAGGGGGAGGATCAAAAAATGATACCAAAAAGTATACTTAAATAAACTTAATTTGTGTTAAAATATTTAATTTCTAATTAAATAATGTCATTAACATTCACAATTAAAATCGGTAAAATAGGTAATATCCATAATTAATTTAATCCTCCAAAACGTTATTTAAAAAGTCAATATTTACCTTCAATTATGTACATATATATTCACAAATAAATCCCTAAAGAAAATTAAGCAGCAGTATTAAAAATAGAAAAAGTTTTTAAATAATATTTTTAAATATTAAAAATATCTCCAAAACTTAAAATCCCAAAATAAAATCCCAAACAGAAAAATGCTTAAACAATCCCTCCCCCTCCTTCTCTAGTAAAAATGTTTAAATAATTATTAAAATAAAATGGAGGAAATAAATTTTAATTTTTTAAATTTCTTTATTTCTTTTCCTATAAAATAAAATAAAAATTCCTCCTTTCCTTCTCTCTGTCTATAATAAAAATTTTTGTTTCCATTTTTTCAATTGTGTTGTTGGCATTTTTTTAAATTTTTAGCCAAGATTTTCTTTCTATTTTTTAAAAATTTTAATAGAGAGAAGGAGAAGGACGGAGGGTGGGAAGGAAAGAGAGAAATAAATTAAAATAAATTAATTAAATCGATCAGAAAAACAGAAGAGAAAAGAAGTCTTTTTGAGTGATAAAAGCTTTGGAATAAATAACGGAATAATTTATACAAAAAAACCAGCTGGGACAACAAAAATAATAAATAAATAAAGATAAAAAAGCCTTTAAATTTTTGGATGAATTTTTAGTAGTTAAAGTTTTTTATTAAATATTATTTAGGCAAAAATAAATTAAAAAAGAAAAATAATATTTTTATATTAAGTTTTAAAAGATTTTTTGGGGGTAAAGAGATCCACCAATTTGGCAAAGAATTAAAAGAAACAGAGAAGCTATGTGTATCCCCCTGAATTATTTTTTGTAAAAAAGGATTACTTCAAATTATCTAGATTAAAAATTACTACCTATAGCATGCCTCACAAAATCATCAGCGCTTGAACGGTATAATTCAATATAGCGTTGTCTTAAATGGCATCTATGCCGTTCAAGAGCCCAATCCCTATATTCTGGAGTCTATTAAGAAAATAATTTTTAAAATAATTTTATTTTTAAAATTTACTTCAAATTTAACTAGACATTCCCCATTTCGCCTTCCTTCAGGTCCAAGACATAAAATTACTCCGCCTCTTTACAGAATTTTTTTATTTTTTTAAATTCTTTTAATTAATAATTACTTTGCAATTTCCAGCCCAGCAAAAAAAAGAGCTACATCCAAATCAGATACTTGCCAAGGAAGTCCCCGAGCACGAATTATTGTTTTTGAGTCAATACTTTGAGTATCCGTACTTTTAAATTTTAAAAATATTTTTGAAATATATTTTATTTTTAATAATTAGGATTGCATGTTTAACACCGAAAGGAAATCCAAGGAATTTTTATTTAATTAAAAAATTGCCAAAAGTATTTATAAAATATTAAAAAATGTTTTTTCATAAGTTCAATTAAATCCCATTAATGGATTCTGGACCGAATAGAACCATTGAACCGATGATTTTTCGGTTCGGTTTCGGATATCCGAATAATTTCCAAGACCGACAACCCTAGATATGTATAACAAAAAGAATTAATTTAAAAAGAAACCAAAGCATAGATTGATATCCTTGTTGAATATATTCTATATTTAATTTATTAATTTGTTGATTGTTATTATTAAATGACTGACAAAAATGTACAAATTCTTTATTTAGCGTAGAAAAAAGCTTTAAAAATTAAATAGGTAAAAAACTAAATTAATTAATTTTTTGAATATTTTTTTAATAAAACAAAAATATTTCTAAAAATTAAAACATAAAATTTAAAGGCAATTTTGGTATCAAAAATTTCCCAAAGTGTCGGGAGTCCTGGGAAAAAAGAATTATCAATTTTCGTTAAAAATGGAAAAAGTTATAGCTAAAATAAAAGCGGCTGCCAATTTGCCGCATCCTGTATAAATTTTATTTAAATTCCTTTCTTAAAAATTAAAAAATAAATACTTGTTTAGTTGTTAATTGTTGTTTTTCATTATTTAAAGAAAATGGGGACGATGAAGATGATGAAGTATTGTTATTAAAAGTTAATTCTTCAAATAAAGGCACAAATGAGTGAAAGAGTTTAGGTAATGGCAATCGAGCAGAAAATGCCTTTTTTAAAAATAAATTTATTTTATAATTTTTAATTATAAAGTTGAAGGACCTCGAAGTTATTTTTCGATTTTAAATATATTTTTTATTTGGTGGTCATTGGATATACCTTCAATCTAATATAGGTACCCTAATTTTTGAATACAATTCTTTTATCCGAAAAGGGGGGAATAGCCTGACTAATCTGAAGTGTTCAAACTCTAATCAAATAATGGTAATAATTTTAAATTATAATGGACATGAAAGTATAGTATATCAATCAAAAATTATTACTGCCTAATTATTATTCCTCTAAATTAATTAAATTCCTTCCCTCTCTCCTTTATTTCCAAATAATATTTTTATTTAATATAAAATTACTTGCTCCTCCCCCTCATCTGCCAATTTAGCTAAAAATGCTTGGGCACAAAGTGGATAAAGTAATTGGCGAAGTGAACGTCTATTACACACTAACAGTAAATTACGGTCTGGATATGCCTCCTCCAAATCCTTTGCCAACTATAAAAATTTGAAATATACATATAATTTTTTATTAAGAAGATAATAATTTTTTGATTTTATATTTTTCCGAAAATATTTTTGGAAGAAAACAAATAAATAATTTAAGGATGATATTTCTACTAGCCACCCCGTTAATTTAAACCACCCCCTCAAATAAAAATATTTTTTAAATAATTAAGTAAAAACCTTATTTAATTTTTCAAAAATATTATTAATATTTAATTTTATTTGTTTAATTCCATCATTATTTTCTTCTTCCTTTTCTTCCTCCTCATTTTCAATTTTTTGTTCTTCTCCTTCTTCCTCTATTTTTATTGAAGAATTATTATTATTTAATGGGTCAAATAAAAACCAATTTAAATATAAAAATATTAAATTGCTTTGTTTATTTGAAAAAGAAGAAGAGGGGGATGTGGGGGAAGTTTGTTTTGATTTTGTTGTTGTTGATGGTTGGGATGTTGGTGGTGGTGGGGGTGGGGGTTCTTGTCTTGGATCGGGAGGTGGGGATAAATTGTCACCATTATTAGATGAGGATGTTGATGGGCATAATACTATTGCTGAATCCTTTAAAAAATTATATTTTTGAAGGGATTTTATTTTTTTTTTGAGATTCTAAAAGGGTTTGGGTCAAAAATATGTATGTGTAGTATAACTCAAGACCAAAGGGGAATCTCTCATTCCCCTCCTTTTCAATTTAGGAATGTTAACGGAAATTCTTTGGGAAAGATAATATCTTGACATTAAATAATGAGGGAAATGTCCTTTCGAAAAATAGAATATACCTATTTTTAATTAATCTACCTGAGAAGACGAACAAAGAGAAGATGAAGGTGTACTACTATTAGTTGTTGTTGTATTTCTCGAATTATTTAAATTTAAATTTTCTTCTTCATTAATTACAATAAATACAAAAATAGGAGTTTTGTTATTATTTAAAGAATAAATATTTTTATTAAAAAGAGGGGGAGGAGTAGCAAATTCCATTTTAAATTATATGACGTTTAATTAACTTTAATTTTTATATATTTAAAAAGAATTTTTAAATAAAAAAATAATATGTAATTAATATTTAAATGATCAATCAAAATAAAATAAATTAAAGAAGAAAAATTCATTGGGAAAGGTTTAGGCGCAATGACTTTAAAGTGCGCAATTAATTTCTTCTAAAGTTATGGGCAAGTTTACAAGCAATTTAGCTTAGAAGTTCTTTAAGGTAGACTTCTCTATATTTAAAAATGTGTTTATTAAAGATGATTAAATTATTTTTATATTTATCATTTAAGCCACGCCCATTGCTATTTAATGTAAGTATTGAACTGAAATAATGTTTAGAAAATTGTATCAGTGTAGATAAGTTAGGATCCATCTTCGATTCAGCTTGGCAAGCGCGCAGAATGAGCTATGATGTTTGAGCAAAATTTCATATCCCATCTATTTATGTTTTAAGTTCATGCTTAGTTTCTCTATTATAATTATTTAATTTAAAATTTTGAAATTTTAAATTAATCAGACAACTCTTTATTGTTCAAAATTTCACTAAAATACTTCTAAAATTACTACTAAATAATTTACAAATATGCGCGACAAATCTTTTCCGCGCCTAACAATTTTCTTTTCAATGGATAATGAAGGTTATTTTCATGGTTATTTGGAGAACTAAAGGAAGAAAGGTTTTACTAATATTTAGATTTCTATTGGTTGTTATAAATAAATAAATAAATTTATTTATTAGTAGTGGGCAGTTCCTTTACCAAAAAAATATTTTTTTCAAAAGAGGGGGGGGGAGGATAGCCTTCGGGCACACAAAAACTTTTCGCTACCAATTTATTGAAAGATGGATTTTCGGGTTGTTTTGTAAAGAAATAATTGAAAAATAAAAAGAAAATTATAAGAAGAAAATTGTTTGTAGTTTTTCGTAGTTTTTCGCGCATCTACTAAAAATTTTTAATTTCTTTTTTTTTTTCCTCTTTTCCACTCAAAAATTATTTTTTTATAAAGGACATATTGAAAGGTAGAAATATTTATTTAAGTGCGCAAGTGGACAAACGAAAACATTTAATGATTTATAATGATGGTTTTTTGTTTGAATTGGGCAAAAAATTTAAAAAATATAGAAAAAAATTTTATGAGAAAGATTAAAAATAATTTTAGAAAATTATTTTTAATTAATTTTAAGGGAGAACACATTTTATAAAAATAATTAATTTCAAGAGATTGAACATGTGTAAATTAAAATTGTTTCTGTTTTTCCTAATTTTAAACAGGAATAAGAGATCCTCTGAATACCTATCAGAACCTACCAAATTTCTAATTTTTACGAAAATATATTCCTAAAATTTACTCCGTTCCGTTGGAAATGCAAAAAACTTTAAAAATTAATTTTAATTTTAAATGGATTTTTATTTTATTTTTAAAAATCTTTTAAATAAATAAATTTAAAGTCTACACACTTCGTGTCACTGGACATACTTACACTATTGTTGTCTCTGTAAATAAATTTTAAATATTTACAAGGATCAGGTCAGACTTTTCTCAACAATACATTTATTGTTTGCTGTCTGCGCAAATTTATTTTGTAAAAATAAAAAAAGACGAGGTGATCAATATTTTTAAATTAAATTAAATGTTCGGATGGAAAAAAGATCAGAAATCAAGCATTTTTTAATAAAACAACAAACTCTCTCCCTCTAGTAAAATTGAGAATTTTTTCCAAATTTCTTAGAACTTTTTTTCACACTATAACAACCAATAAAAATGTTCATTAGAGAGAAAATGCTACTTAAACTTGAGTAACTAATATTTTTGAATGAAATTTCGTTTCAGTTTGATCTCTAATTATAACTGGTCTAATAGATAAAATCAAGAGTTGTAGAGAGTTATTTAATTAGAATATATCTAGATATTTAAATATTTAAAAATATATTTAATTGAAAATGCTTGAATGCGCAAAAATAAAAAGAATTGGAATCAAAAATTAAGAAATATGCACTAGAAAATTAAAAAGAAAAAGGACAAATTTGTAGACAAAATCGCAAGCAAGATCTAAAAATTCTAAAAGTTTTGTACAAAAGAAATCAAAATAAATAAAAAGCATAAAACTTGTTAAAAAGAAAAAAGAAGCGGTCAGATATAAAAATAAATATTAAAAGAATAAGGAAAGAAGTCTCGAAAATGTTGGGGGAAGGGGGAGAAGGAATTGTAAAAAAAAAAATAAAATATACAATTGATACTTAAAAAGGCCGATATATTTTTGTTATATTGAAAAGATAAACAAAAAGTGGCAATGTCAAAAGTTCAATAAGGATAAAAAGTCAATGAAGAGTTCGAAAAACAGATTTATCAACTTGTAATTAAGGAAAATGAATCTTTAGACTATTATATAAGTATTTATTTGATTCAATTTCCAATGATTCTAAATAGGGGCTTCTAATTTTGACTAAAAAATCAGATTAAGATTTCTCAAGGATTCCGAAACTTGTGTTGAATCAAAATGGAAAATTAAACTTTCAATAATAAGAATCCAATTTTCAATCAAATTTTAGAATCAGAAGCTAATTTATAAAATAGGTATACATAGTATTTACTCAATTAAGTACCCTCTCTCTCAGATAATTACCCCCTCCCCATTAATCCAGCTAGAGGCTGAAAAACCCATAGTAATTATTTGAGTATTTTTCAGATAAAGATTGACTACCTTATTAATCCCCTTAAATATTTTTTTAAAAAACTTTTAAATTTAATTAATTAATAAAAATTATTTTACTAAATAAGAATCTCCTCTTGACATAAATAAAAGGAAAATATAAAAAAATATATTTTTTATTTAGTATTATTAATACTTAAATAAAAATTTGGGGCATATACTAAAGTAAGTAAAAAAGAGTGCAATGGAGTGAATGAATGAATGGAAAATATAAAAAGTCCGCGCACAAATTGACGGCTAAAAATATATTTATTAAAGAGAAACA